AATCCATTCACATATAAAACATTTTTAATTTGTATGGAAGAGGTATTACCTATAGTACCTATACCTTCGATATGACCTTTTGAATTATCACCAAAAGTCACTTCTCCTCCATTTTTTGCGTTAAGCTCTATGAACTGGTTTTTGTCCCCAGTCATGTGTCTAGAGCATCCACTATCAGGGTACCATGAATTTGAATTTGTTTCCCGTGCCTTGTAGCAATGCTCATTTTCCTTAGAATCTTCCACGAATGCCATTAAGCACAAGTTTGCTACTTCTTGTTCCTCTTCATCGAAACCTTCTTCATCGCTCCATGTAGCCACATGAGCCTTGTGCTTATTCTTTGATTGACCCTTTCTCTTCAATTATGGGCAATCATATTTGACATGCCCCGGTTTTTTGCATTCATAGCAAATGAGCGGGTCTTTCTCTTTTGGTTCATTTTTTAGGCCTTCATTTTGTTTGAATTTTCTTCCTCGGTAAGGTCTCATCATTTTTTGAACCGTTTGGAAAACAATGTCATTTCCTCATCATCTTCATCCGAATCACTCTCTTCTTTTGTGGATTTGAGAGCAACTTCAATGTTTTTCTTCTTCTCCTTCTCCTTTGGTGTCTCTTCAATCTTATCGAGGTCCACCTCATCTTCAAGCATCATTTCATGAGTGAAGAGGGAACCGATTAGCTCTTCAAGAGTTAAGGACTTTAGGTTCTTAGCCTCGATGATTGCGGTCTTCTTGGATTGCCATGATTTTGGAAATGAGTAAACTAACTTCCTCACAAGCTTTTCGTTAGGAATGATCTCTCCATATGATTTGAGACCATTGACAATCGTTGAGAATCTATCCGTCATAGCTTTGATATATTCATTTGGTTTCATCCTGAAATATTTATAGCTATGTGTTAGAAGACTAATTTTATATTCTTTTACCTCGTCGGTGCCTTAATGAGTGACTTTTAGTTTATCCCATATTTCTTAGGCGGTTGTACAAGATGAAACTCTTCCATATTCATCTGGTCTAAGAGCACAAAATATAATATGGATGGCTTTGGAGTTGAGCTGGAACATTTTCGTCTCTCCTTCGCTCCACAATCTTGGATGAGTGAGATGCTTGATATATCCATCTTCTACAACATTTCATGCTCCCATGTCACTTGATTGAATAAAATACATCATCCTATTCTTTCAATAGGCATAGTTAGCACCATTGAAGAAATGAGGCTTGTTGATGGGCATTGAATCGAGACCGGAGTCGAAGTTTGAAGTGGAGGCCATTGATAACTTGATAATCGATGTAACTCTTCCTGAATCGACTTAAGAGATGATTAAACCTTCAAATGAGTTAGGCTCTGATACCAATTGTTGAGTTAATCAATCGATGGAATCGGCCAAGAGGGGGTGAATTGGCAATTAAAATTTTGGTGGAAGCTTTTGCAGAAAATTGAAAGTAATTGCACAGTGATTTAGAGTGGTTCGACTTTCTCAATCAAAGTCTATGTCCACTACCTTAGCTATCCACACTAAGGATTTTCCAACAAAATTCACTAATTTGTTCTTTCTTTTGAGGCCAAAGAGATAACCTTACAACTCCTTCAAGAATATACCCCAATTCTTGAGAACACTCTTTCTCAAAGAGAAGATTACAAATTTGCAAACTTACAAGGAAATCCTCACAAGGTAGAATGTTTGCACAATTATAGAACAAAGAAAAGAACACTCAAAAATGAATACAACTAAGTACAAGTAGTGTTCTTGAAAGCAAAATGAATACTGAATGAAAAATAGGCTTGAAATGCTCAAACTTGAGGTTTGATTCTTTCTCTTTGATTCTCTCTTGATTCTTGTTGATTCTTGATTCTTGTTGTTGATCAATGGCTTCTAAGCTTGTTTAAATACATCTTCAAATGATTCTGAACGTTGGGGGATGATTAGTGGAGTCAATAGAGCCGTTTAAGTTTGAAAACAATTAATTAAAGTAGTTGGGAGTGTCAGTGCATCGATGCATACCCTAGGTGCATCGGTGCATCAGTGTAAAATTCAAATATTTTGACCGTTGAACTCGCAGTGCATCGGTGCACTAAGAGTGCATCGATACATGAAATGCATTCGATGTTTTGAAATAGCCTGAGTGCATCGATGCATGGTCTTGTGCATCGATGCATCAAATGCACTAAGTGCATCGATGCATCAAATGCACTAAGTGCATCGATGCATGGTATGTGCATTGATGCATAAAATGCATTCGATGTTCAATTAATTCCATAGTGCATCGATGCATGGATTTGGTGCATCGGTGCATCACTTTGAAAATTTGATTTTAGGCTTGATTTTGGTTCAAAATACTTTGTAAAAATTGTTTCAAAAATAGTTTAAGTATAAAACACAATTTTACACATTTAGTAAGGTTTGAAGTGATCTTGAAAGACTTGGAGTAATAATTTGATATTCGATTAATTGAATCGAATATACTTTAGAAAATCATTTGTAAAATCTTAAAATTAATTTAAACTTAGTTTGTTATATCGAAATATCAAAATGTTTTCAACATGTACCAATTAATTTTCCGGTTGTCTTTATTTGCGAAAATTAACATTTAATTTGAAATTCAAAAATTCAATCTGAATTAATTACCTTTGATCGATTGAAAGTATCCCTAAAAAGTCAAAAGTATTGGATTGTAAAAATGAAAATAAACATGAGAAAAGAATAATAAAAAATATTAATATAATAATATTAATAAAAAAATAAATATATATATATATATATATAACAATGTAAAAAGAAATAAAAATATTAAAATTAGGAGAAAATGAAAAATATATATAAAGTAAATAAATAAAAAAATAAAATAAAAAAAATAAAATAAAAAGAATAAGACAAAAGTTGTTATATCTCCCATGTTTTGCGTGTAGAGAAACTGGATTTGCAATGAAAATGCTATGTCACTCCTCGTGCTTTTAGATACTGGCTTTGGATCCTCTACGCTTATTTTTGTCCTTTTCTTCCCTTGTTTTTTTCAAATCGTTGCCCCTTCCTCTGATTTTGATTCCACGTTTCTCTCTCTCTCCTTTCCTCTTGATGTTTGAGTCTATTTATAGTCTAAAGAAACCTATTTTTAGCTCAGATTTAGAGTCCTACTTGAACTCAAATGCTTCAGTTTTAGTGTTTCAATATGACTCAAATACGTTGGTTTTAGTGTTTCAATAGGACTTAATTATGTTGATTTATTTTCTGAATCTTACTAAATCAGGTTGTTGAGTATGGTGCCTGCAAAAAAATATATTATTATTATTATTATTAATAATAATTAATAAATATAATATAATAAAATATTTTTATAGATCCGGACAAAAATAGATGTCTACAGATTCATTTTCTCCAAGTTTAGTAATCGTTGTTCTTTTGACATTTTAGATTTATTGACTATCTTTTTTATGGGGTGAGAGAATTATACATGCATAGAGGGTAAAACTAATTATTTTAAACAAGAAATTAAAGTTATATTTTTAAGGTTAGAATATCAATAACCTCACGCCGACTTTTTAGATAAGATTTGAATATTTCTAAGTCGAGATGACTTATTACTGAACAATCGACTATTAATTATCTTTCCAACACATAATATTTCAGTTGGACGTCGATAACTCAAAATATTTTCATTTTAACGAAGAAAACGCAATCAAAAAATTTCTTAAGGATCTCATACAAAATTCTTTAATAATTATAAAATTTAATATTGTATTGATTATTTGTAATTAAATTCAATAGAAGACACTTTACATGTGTTTTAATAATAATAATTCCCGGTGGCCACCAGCAATTGTATTTGTATAGGAAGTGAAGTGTCATCTGTTCAATGGCTGATGAAAGCGAATTTGCAGTCGCAGCATGCTAGGAAAATTGAAAATTTGCCCTGTTCTTTAAAACGGTGAAGAGATAAAATTTGGATTAAGAATGGAAAACGGGCAAATTTCGCTCCCACACATACAATGACAGTAAGGGCCACATTGCTCATGCTGATGGAGCCGCATCGGATCCTGTGACGGCCATGCTTTATCTTAAGTAATTTTTGGTAAATTACATATAAAATCATTGCTCAATGATTTATTTAATATTAATTTTTAGTAGTTTAGGGATAAAACTAAATACTAATTTTTTTGTTAACGTTGACACATCATCAATTTAACGGAGGTAATGGTGGAGTGACTATTTTGTTACAAATCGATAACGTAGTGATCAATTTGTTACTTTTAAAACTTCAATAGAGAAAACGAAAACTAACTTAAACATTAATAACAATAGATACCAAGAAGAACACGTAGTGGATCTTGAAGTACTATTTCTACATCCCTGACCAAATCCATCCACATTAGGATTAATTGTTAATGGTTGTGGTTTACCCAATTTAATATCTATTTTATTAAGTGGTTCAGATAAGTTAACCGTAAACTATTTTTTATTTGATTAAATTTCATAGTTTAATTCAAATATATTTCTAAAAATTTTACTTAGTCTTAGATCTTTTGTAGCTTATAGATTGACACATCTCTTATGTAATTCAACACACCATTTAGAAATAAATTAAATATCATTCTTTAATGTTCTCTACAAGAGTTCTTTTCTTTGGTTAATATTTTTATCTTCTTCTTATTTTGTTGTGTCGTTGTAATCAATTTACTTATCATTGGTCATTTTTTAAAAAAATGTTGAAGATCACTTCGACTGTTGCATTTGCCGCTGCATCAGCCGGTATAACGGTTCTTAATGGCAATGATCTTGAGAAATGTGGTCAGAACCACTGCACTCTGTTTCAAACTGCAAACAACATTGGCCTTCATCACCCGGTTTCCCATGTCACCATCCTTTTTTGTTGAACTTCTGGTCATTGCCTTCCTATTGATTATCCGAATCGAAATTTCATGAACTACAAGATGGCAGAGGATTCCTCCATGTCCAATGTAATATTTCATCAGTTTTATCGGTTCGGTTACAGTTAACAATAGAATATCAACAAGCTGTCAAGAAACCAATCCTAGTCCCAACCCACCATCTAAGGAAAAAAAGAGAATTTGAGGCCTTAATCATGCATAGGGAGAGAACAACTTCAAAGTCCATGAACACATACTGAATTACTTGGGAAGCTGCAGATTCCCAACCGATTAGTAGCAAGCAATGTAGCTGAGAGATGTTGTGCTCAACCCAAATATATCAGCAAATTTTCGTTTCTCTACTATGAACGACACCTCCGTTTCTCAGCTTCAAGCTCAGTTTTTAACATTTCAACATGCTCACGTAGAGCAGCATTGTCCTGATAATATTGGAATCAGTCAATAAAATAGGAAATATTCATAACTGAAAGCAATATCCGAGGCATTCTTAATTTTCTTCTGCAAATACGTTTTTGAGTAACAGGACAGTCCTTTCCGGTAAAATCAATGATCAAGTGTCTTGGTTCTAGCATTTCAATTGAAGAAGGTTTTCAAGAATGTCGAATAAAACAATTGGGAATCGCGTCATCATAAGAACAAGATAACAAGAAAGAAAGAACACAACTTTCAGTAGTGAAGAAGTAACCTTTTGCAACATCTTCAGTCTCTTATCAAAGCTGGTGGAATCTTCCTTCTTTTCAATAGACTCCTTGATCTGTGAAACGGACACGAACTCCATCTGTTACAAGTGTCGGCAAGCACGAATTAAGGAATAAAAAGATAGCAATGAAAGAAGATTTTTCCTTCCAGCATGCATTTAAACTCGCCTCTATAAGAAACTGACTAAGCAGAAATGGTCTAACCTCGACCAATATGCTTGTTCAAAAAGCATATTAGTTTCTTCCTATTCTCACTTCATATTACTCCCTGATTTTTAATTAGTCATTATGAAACATAGTACAAAAAGTTCAGAGTTGTGAAGAATAACACCCTCACCATGAACAACATAAATAATACAAGGAGGCTTAAAGACTATATACCATGTCGAATTATTCCCCGAAATTAGTGCTGGTAAAGCAAATGTTGTCTCGCTAGAGTATTCGAGTTTGAGTAGTTTCGTTTGCAGGATGTGTGTATTGTCAATAATTAAAAAAGATTCTGAGCAAATACTAAGTAGAAATCACCCTAAACTATTGCAGTCGCATATATGAATTAAAACTGCAAATGTGACTTAATTAGCTCCAAATTCGAACCTTTAAAGTGATCTGATTTACCAGATCAACTATATTTAATCTTAATTCTTCCCAAAAAGACTGGAATTGAAATAATTTTTCAATCTTCAAAATTGAGAAAAATCAAGAATAGCTGTTGAAAACCTAAAAGCACTAATTGATCCAAATTTAATAAGCAAATGAAAATGGCGACAAGAAAAGAGCAAACCTCTTCCAGTTCCTTGGCATAATTGGAAGCCTTTTCTACCTCTTTATCAAATCTCAGCCTCCACTCTGCAGATTCATCCATTGCCTCTTTGTTTGCAAGATCAAACTGTCTCCTTCTCTCCAAGAATAATTTTTTTCAAAAGAAATGATTTTAATTAAAATTTAAGCAGAAAATTGAAAACCCAGAATTGAAATCAACCTAATTTAATGAAGACCCAAAATTCATATAAACGTACATGAACTAACCTGATTAACTCAGCATCATCAGAAGAGATAGAGTATTGAATAGCCCAAAGCCTGAAATAAACTGTTATTCCTAGAAACATAGCCACAGCTAATGCCACCAATATTCTGCGTTTCCCTCTTCTCACCATTCTCTTTCTTTCTTTCTTTTCTTCCTCAACTGTTTTATTATTATTTTTTTTGGATTCGGTTTTAGCAGAATTTGACGTTTCTCTTTCACTTTCCAAGTCTTTTCAATGGTTGTTTGGTTTGATGTAAATAAATGTCTTTTCTGAACTCGAAAAATGATTTTTTCTTTTTAGTTTGGAAGTACTATACTTTAATGTTATTGATGTATTATGGTATCTTGTTAGTCATATATGATCTAACATATCATTTATTATCAATTTATCCAAAATATATTTGATTGGCTTTATAAGTGCATGATACTTATATGATCCTCATAATACTTGACCAAATACTAGATATATTTTCACATATATTGGTAATACAATCTCAAGACGTTCTATGAAACAAACAATAATTGTCAATTCTTCTAATCCTGTTGAAATTTCAGTTGTCTACGTGCCTAGTCGTGAATATGTGTGATTGAGATATATAATTCATCATATACGAAAAGGTTATGCGTTATACTCTGAAAAAGAACATTCTTCAGGAAGATAATATAATATGCATCGTACAGCTTAAAAAAATGTACACAAAGGGTGATAGAAAAAAACATGTCTCATAAAAAAATTTCTTCAACCATGATCTACAAGAGAGAGGAATAACAAATTTATTCAAGTGAAAATTTAACATATCTATTTATAAGGTGCTTTGAGAAGTTAATCTTCAACATTAGATTGCATCATTTTAATGACCTGAGGTACCCAAACGTGTGCACTCTTGGAACCTTCTTCGACAGCTTAATGATTGCCCGGATATTCCATGGTTGGCCATAGGTGACTTCAACGAGATTTTGTTTTCTTACGGAAAACAAGGAGGCCTAGAAAGAAGTGAGGGGCAAATGGTGGCCTTTCGGGAGGCTTTGGACTCTTGTGAATTACGGAACCTGGGTATAGTGGTCACTGGTATACATGGGAGAGGGGTCGCCGAGCTGAGACCCATATACGTGAAAGACTTGATAGAAGAGTAGTGAATTTGGCTTGGGAAGCCTTGTTTCCACGGGCAGGGTTAAATCATGTTATCAATGCTCTATCGGACCATTGTCCTTTATTGTTGTCTACGAAGGAGGTGCAGCGTGTGAATCGGCATTGGCAGTTTAAGTTTGAGGTGTCTTGGGTGCTTGAGGAGACGTGCGCGGCAGAAGTTCGAAACTTTTGGTCAGTTGCTACTGGGTCTGTTTTGGATAAACTCGACTATGTCCGACGGGGTTTAGACAAATGGTTCCATAAATTACGTATGGACAGGCGGCTAACGTTGAATGATTTGAAAAAAAAAAGCTAGATGAAAATCTTGGGGACATTTTGGGGAAATGACCACGTGCAACAACCTTAATATACGATTAAAAAAATGCGTTACCAGTTTTGTTATATTTTTTAACAAAACCGGTAAAAAATTACCAGAAATATTGTTATTTTTACCGGTTTTGTTATTATTGGGCGTTTTACCGGTTTTATTAGCAAATCAAGTAAAACACTATCGGTTCTGTTATTTTTTTCTACCGGTTTTGTTATTATTGGGCACTTTACCGAAATTGTTAAAAAATATTAATGTTTTAAGTAGAAATAATAATAATTTAGTTAATTTTTTTACCGGTTTTGTTAAAAATAATAATAATAAAACCGGTATTATTTTTTCTTAACTGTATATTAAAGGTGTCACACTGTAAAACTTCACACATTTTGGAGACGTGGCTGATGTTGAATTTGGAGGTGGACAAAAATGAACTTTATTGGGAGTAATGCGCTTGTGCTATTGGTTACAGAATGGTGATAACAATACCGCATTTTTTCACCGCTTCGCCTCACATCGCAAGCGGAGAAACAAGATCCTTTTTGTTTAGTCTGATGATGGGGCACGGGTGGAGGAGGCCGGGAGTCTTGGGGTGTTGGTGAATAGTTATTTTGAGAATCTGTTTATGTCAAATGCTGGAGGTGTGAATCCCCAAATTCTTCAGGGCATTTTGCCGTGTATTACTGAGGTGATGAACCAATCTTTCACGCGTGATTTCACCGGGGAAGAGATTTTTGCAGCTGTTAAAATGATGAACCCTCTTAAGGCTTCGGGTGAGGATGAACTAGGGACACTGTTTTATCAAAGCTTTTGGCATATTTTTGGGAACGAGACTGCCGATTTATGCATCGACTTGTTGCAGGGGCATCATGATATGGTACCCATTAATCGTACCCATATTATTATTATTCCGAAGAATCGCTTACCAAGTTCAATAAAGCATTTTCGACCCATTAGTCTTTGTAATGTGCTATACAAAATTGTGTCAAAAGTTCTCGTTAATCGGATGCAGCACTTTTTACATTTATTTATTGATGAAGCGTAGAGTGCGTTCGTTCCGGGTCGTTTGATTCAAGAAAACATTATTGTGGCTTACGAGATGCTTCACCCTTTTGTCAATAAGCTGTCGTGAGGGATTTTTTTCCCTTAAACTGGATATGAGTAAGGCCTATGATAGGGTCGAGTGGCACTTTCTTTGGGAAGTGATACGAAAACTGGGTTTTACTGATGGATAGATTGAGATGATAAGCGCAGTATTGTATTCGGTTATTCTAAACAGGGAGGCAGGAGATGTGTTTGTCCCGCAAAGAGGTCTGCGACAAGATGATCCTCTTAGTCCTCATTTGTTCTTCATTTGTAGTGAGGGATTGTCTTCCCTGCTTAGGCAAGCGATGGTCTCTGGTAACTTCAAGGGTGCTAGAACTAATAGACGAGCTCCTACAATTTCGCACTTACTCTTTGCCAATGATAGTTTAATTTTTGGTGAAGCATTGGCAAGATCAGCGACTCAGGTAAAAGACAACTTTAGAATCTATGGGATGAGTTCGGGTCAAGAAATTAATCTGGATAAGAGTGGATTATTCTTTGGCTCAAATGTAATCAATGACAACAGGAATGATGTTAGGCGCATCCTGAATGTCTCTAGTCATTCGAATCCAGAAAAATATCTGGGCTTGCCGGCTGTGGTGTGTCGTGGCAAAATAAAGGCTTTTGAGCACTTGAAGGAACGTATTTTATCAAGGATCCAGTCCTGGAGTACACGTTTTCTACCCCAAGGAGGAAAATAAGTGTTTGTGAAGTCGGTGTTGCAATTTATACCGCTGTTTGCCATGAAATGTTTTTTATTACCAAAATGTTTGTGTAGTAATTTGGAAGGTATTTTGGCGCGTTTCTGGTGGCAGAAGGCAGATGGCATGCGGGTAATTCACTGGTGCAAGTGGTCTGACTTGTGTAACCTCAAGGAGGATGGGGGATTGGGTTTTCGTGACATGGCCAAGTTTAATGTCTCGATTTTGGCTAAGCAAGGGTGTCGTATTTTTATGACCCCTACCACCCTTGTTGGGCGTCTGTTGCGTGCTAAGTACTTTGCCAGCATTATTTTTTACAGGCTAAATTAGGTGCGAACCCTTCTTACGTTTAGAGGAGTATCTGGAGTGCTAGGGGTTTATTGGAGAAGGGGTTCCGTTGGAAGGTGGGGTCGGGGACAGCCATCTCCATCTGGAATGACTACTGGTTACCAGGGGCTGTGCCAAGGCAGATCAGCACTCCGAGAAGGGATTTTCTGGATCGAGTTTCGGACCTTATTATTGCTGAAAGTGGCTCCTGGAACAAGTCTTTTATTGTCTCCACGTTTGAAGCAGAAGAAGCCGATGCAATATTGGGTATTCCCCTTTCAACTTTTCATCAGGAGGATACGTTGGTCTAGGGTGGTGAGCATCCAGGTGTTTATAGCGTCAGAAGTGGGTACATGTTATTACTTTCTCGAGACCCTCTGTTACATTTTGATGCACGTTTGTTTCGATCTGTATGGGATAGTGCATGTCAACGAAAAATTAAAATCCAATTGTGGAAGTTCATCATGAACTATATCCCTACGAAATAGTGTTTATTTTTCAGGAGATTGGTTTCTGATCCCTTTTGCCCCAGATTTCCGAACACGATCGAATCGGGTGTTCATGTGGTGCGCGAATGTTGTTTAGCGGTTACGGTTTGGCAGGGGTTAAGCTACAATTGGCCTAATTACCTTATGCCTGGTTTTTTTGTTACATGGTTACAACATTTGTTTCAGAATCATTCACCAGCAAAACACGTTGAAATTATAATGACAATCTGGGCTTCGTGGTTTAGCCGTAAGGGGAAAACTACTTCTACGGGCGAATTAATTACCGCTCAGTCACACATAAACTTCATGGATCTGCTGTTTTGAACACGAGTGTTTGTTAGTCTCCTCCTCCCCTCCCTTTTGTAAAGGTTAATTTTGATATCCATTTCCTCTCACAATAACAATGTGGTTGGTCAGGGATTGTTATTCATGATACTGGGGGTCTAATTCTCGGTGCTAGTAGACAGAGATTAGGACGTGTTACCTCTGCTTTTGCTGCTGAAGCTAGGGCAGCTGTCCAAGCCCTTCAATTTGCTGCAGATCTGGGTTTCTCCGATATCATCTTGGAAGGCGATTCTCGAACGGTGATGCAGAAACTAGCCTTGGATACTCTGGATCTTTCAGAAATTAGTACTTTAGTTTGGGAGGTCCGACGGCGAGCTGAGTCGTTGCATGCATGTCGTTTCCTCTTCACTCCACGGTCTGGCAACAAGGCGGCTCAGTGTTTGGCGCTGGATGGATCGGTCGGGCTGTCTGATCGTTTTTGGGTGGAGGAAGGTCCTCGGAGGTTGATGGTGCAAGTGGCGGAGGATATGAGAGGAATCCAACCGCCGTTTTTTCTTGGAATCTTTGGTGATAGTTTGTGCAGGTTCGATTTTGCTGTTCGGGTACCTTCTCCTTTGGGCGATTCTATTGGTTCGAGATTAATGGGAGAGGTTGAAATGGCCGGTTCTCGAATCTTCTTTTGGTTTTTGCTTTTTTTTTAATCTTTTTCTTTAATTCATATTTATTGCTTTCCCGTTTTCCCTTTGGTTTTGATGGACAGCTGTTTTGCTTTGGCTGGTTTACTATGGGTTTTGTCTGGACCTTTGTCAGTTACATTTTGTTTTGTTTTAATAAAATAGTCGGTACATTTTTAGTTTAAAAAAAAAAAGTTCTTAAGTTA